GCTACTCCAAGGAGACCGCGTAACAGCAGTCTCGGAACCCTCAGGCGACTCACCCCCAGACCCAGCACCCCCAAGCTCCGCACACGGAGGCGCAGTACCCCCAAACAGAGCACCCCCAGGCTCAAGACCTCCAGGCTCCTCACGTGCAGGCTCAACACCTCCAGGCTCCGCACCCTTAGGCTCCTCACACTCAGCACCCCCACGCTGCGCACCCCGAAGCTCCGTACCCCCAGGGACAGCACCACTCCCAACAGAACCGGAGTCACCAGTGACCTCAACAGGCGCAGGGACGGGAGGGTCTACCTGAGAAACACCTGAAAGAGCAGGGTCTGGCACAGGGAGGGGGTCTACGTGGGGAGGACCTTGGGCGAGAAAGAGCGGCGGGATGGGGCGAGGAGCAGTGCGGTAGGGGAAGAGGCGGTAAAAGGGGATCGACTCGTTAAAGGTGACGTCCTGAGACGCAAAGACACGGCGCGAGGCGGGGTCGTAAAACTGCCAGCCAGGCGCGTCAAGGATAAAACCAAGGAAGACGCGAGCAATGGCGCGAGGGGAGAGTTTGTCCGCAGTGGTATCGCAGACAAAGGCACGGAGACCCCAGACCCGGAAACGCGACGCGTCGCCAACCTTCCCCGTCCACAGCAGTGTGGGCAAGGTCCCCGGCGAGGAGACACGAGGCCAGAGGTTGAGCTGATGCGCGGCGTACCGGACCGCAAACGGCCACAGAAAATGAGGGGCAGCCGCATGGATCATGGAGGTACGAGCCACCTCCATGACCAAGCCAATGCGGCACTCAACAACCCCATTCTGCTCCGGAGAGGCCGGAAGCGTGAAAGTCTGACGGATGCCGTGCTCCGCACAGAAGGCCGCCAAGAGGTCTGAGGAAAACTCACCACCTCTCTCAGAGTGCAGACGCAGGACAGGAAAGTCCGACTGGAACCGCTCGCGGAGCTTGAGACGAGCAGCGCGGATCCAAGGGATCAAAACTTCAGGGACATCCCTCTTGCGCTGCAAGGGGAAGACCGTGGTGTAACGCGTGTAGTCGTCGACAACCAGCAGGAAGTACCGCTCGTGGACCTGTCCACGGACGCAGGCTGGGCCCCACACGTCCAGGTGGAGAGTCTGCAGGGGAGCCTCCGTGGGAGGGAACGAGGAGGAGTGAAGAGCGGCGCGCTGCCGCCCCTCGACGCAAGGAATACAGGGCGGCGCAGGCGAGGGAGGGAGGGCAGGCAGAGACCTGGGAAGACCAGAGACCAAGAAGCGAGAGTGCATGCCACGCAAGCGCGAGGCAGGGAGGGGTGACCAAGGCGGTGGTGCCACAGGAGAGTGTCGAGCAATAGCCGGCGACACTCACACTGGGTAGCTACCTAAGCAGACGCGTGAAACTAGGGAGACAAAGGGGCGGAGCGCGACGCAGTGGTGAGGGTGTACAGACTGGACCTTGGCGCACGAGTGAACGTGGCCAGGTGGCGGCCGGTCTCGGAGCACGTGCGAATAGCCACACGCTGCCGGCCAGGGGTGAAGATGCCAACCCCCGCATCCTGGAGGACAGCGTAGCATGGTGGTGGAGACCAGACAGCTCACCAGACGGGACCGCCGGACACGTAAGCACGGTGGAAGACCGTGCAAGTACCGGGCCCCTAGAGGGGTCAGCCAGTGAGACAGGAACAGGTGCAAGAAGGGGAGTGACTCTGGTACTGTTGCGAAAGAAACAGCGGGAAGCTCCAGAGTCAAGCGTAAAAGTGTGCATGGCCTGTGCAGGCGTAGTACCAGGGGGAGCAGACTCACAAGCACCTAGTGCTGCAGGCGCTATACCAGGGAGTATACCAGGATCCGGCGGCACACACAAGTAGAAGTCACCCTCAGCACTATTAGACAATGCATACATAGCAGCAAGAATATCCTCATAGTCAAGATCAAAGATATGTACATCACGCCTAAGTAGCTGTGCCTAGTTGGGGAACTCAAGAGCATCAGGAAACTTGGCGCGCCAGGCGTCGCTAAGTCGAGCGAAGCAGCGCTGCTCAGTGTGATAACCTGTGCACTGGCGACCAGTGCGGGGACCAGTGCGAATGATATAGGGGCAGCGACAAGGACCCCCAGAAGCCCCACGCACGGCATACCAGTCAAGAAGCTGCTGGGAAGTGGGGGTCTGGCGCTGCTGCTGCTGTTGCTGCGGCTGCTGCTGGCCCTGACCACCACTACCACCACCGCTCCCTCCTCCCCCACCGCCGGTGCTACCCCCTCCACCGCTCCAAGTGCCTCCGCCGCCCCCACCACCACCTCCACCGCCTCCACTCCCACGACCACCCCCACCACCTCCACCTCCCCCGCCGCCTGCACTACTGCCACCTCCACTGCCACCCCCACCGCCCCTGCCGCCCCTGCTGCCCCTGCCGCTGCGACGCTTCCCACTAGGAGCGGAAGCAGCTCCGACCTCCTCAGCACCAAGGTAGTCGTGAGCAGCAGCTGCGGAGGCGTAGGAGGGGGTGAGAGGGGAGGGGGAGCACTGCTCAAAGAGGGGAGAGCGAGGAGTGCCACGAGCAGCACCTACAGCGAGGATGTTCTTTTCTGCTGCGAGGAGGTGCTTCTCGAAGTCGTCGACAGTGAGAGTGGGGGGGTCTAGCGCGAGGAAGTGGTCCCTAACTGAGCTAAGAGCGTCAGGGAGGCGGGTGACGAGGAAATAGAGAGTGAAGTACATCGGGGGTGGGGGGGGGTTTAGCGGCGCAGAACTCGGCTGAAAGGGCGGCACGAAAGCGAATGTCGGTAGCGCGCAGGTGGGAAATGAGGTACACAGCAGTGGTGAACGAGGAAAGGTCGGGGAACAGGTAGGGCAGCATGAGCCGACCTATGGCTGTAGTGGCCGGGGAAGAGTGGCGCGCAACTACAGCGTCGTACAGCTTCTTAGAAGTCTTGTGCTGGCTGAAATGCGCGCGCTCAGTAATCGGCAGATGGTTCTTAATAGCTAGGCGTGTAGCAGCATCATGAGCTTGCCATTGCGAGCGTTCGAGAGCAGGAGCAAAGGCAGTGCCAGACCCGTAATCGAACAGTGAAAGGCCCTCTTTGGCATCGGTCAGAAGGAACAGTTGGAGATCATCTAACCACACAGTGAACTCTATGGGGCGACCGTCAGGCTCGAACGCGAGAACGTTAGGCGTCGTCATAATGGCAGCAGGCAGAGTCAGGAGGCAGCAGACAAGAGGCAGCAGGCGCCAGGCCACAAGCAAAGACCGAGGTAGCAGGCAGCAGGCAGGAGACAGAAGGCAGCCGGCAGGAGACAGCAGGCAGGAGAGGCCGCACGCGAGCTTCTAAGGCAGCGCGCTAAGCAGCTGCGGGCCGCGCAGGCGGCCGACGCGACGTGCGACGCAGCGGCGGGTCACGATGGCGACAGACGCGGCGCGCGGGGCGACGGCGGGTTGCGTGCGGCGTCGGGCTACACGGGCTGCGCGGGCGACGCAGGCTGGCGCGCGGCGCTACAGTAGTGGCGCGCGCGCTAGTGAGCGAGGCGCGCGCGAAAAAAAAAAAAAGTGACGCGCGCTGCAGCCAAGGCGCGCGCGGGCAGTAGGCAAGGCAAGCAGTTAGGTGGGCCCGATTCTTAGGTCCTAGAGACCTCCTGCTCTAGTTACCATGTTAAGAACTAAGGCAAGAGTGAGTGGATTATGTAGAGGTTAGGGTACAAGACTAGAGTATCGAGGTTGTTTTTTTGTACCCTCTAAGGCTAACCCCACTATAGCCAACCCAATTATAATCATACAAGCAGTCCCTCAGATTGGTTTCAGGGTATGCTGATCGATCAGTGTGCAATGTCCGAAGTGGTGTCCAAATCAGCTTTGGGGGTAAAATTCATGCTGATTTTTTAGTGTAAAGTTCTGAAAGAAACTAAGTTTACAGTGTAAAAAACATTGTTGCTGGCGTAGTTGTTTGGGTTACGTCTAGACATCGTGAAGAATCTGGGTTCGATTCTCGTAGACTGGGCCTATCTGTGAGGGCTGGGAATTCTTTTTGCACAAATCCTTTTTGCGGGAATCTTGGTTTGAACACCCCTTGTACACCGATACCCTATCATGTCCGAATCAGTGTGACTCGGTACACTATACTGATTCATCAGTGTTACTTGTACAGTGACATGCAAAATGGTCAGCGTGACAAAATAGGTTATACTGAAATTTCAGTGCAAAATTGAAGCATATGCTGAATTTCCAGGGAAAACGAAAATATGAGTTACAAAACCAGCGTAATCAGCGTGTTTTACGCTGATATCTGAGGGCCTGCATACAAGTATGTTTGACATCTGACATGATGTTGATGTCGGAGATCCATTCTGCCATGCGGTCCTGACGCCGGCGTTTGCGAAGGCGGAGCCTCTCAATGCAACGGTCAGCAGTTTCGTCGTCGCCTGCACATTCTTCCTCCACCAGTGACAGCCATGACTGAGCTGCAGCTGCTGCTGCAGGCATGAAACTGTCATAGTAATAAGTGTGCCAGAGCTGAATAACACAGGCTAGGATGGTTAGATGCTGAGGAGATAGCATTTTGACAAGAAGGAATAACTTCTGAAGTCTATGTTTTGATACTACTTGCTAGACTATTTTTATAGCTAGCATCCAAACTGTCTTGAAAGGTGGAAATTTTCCACCGAGAGAATCAAGATTCTAGACTTGCAAGGTGTGGCTCGGTTGTGTAGGCTATTCGTGCATGAGGGGCTGCGTTCGAGTGCACGATCTGACGGCCAAATTGGCCGCGGTGTCGAATCGGTCGCACGTGCGATGAACAATGTTCTCTGCTGGGGCGAAAGTGGTTTCGCGCAGCTACTGTGCGATTTTTGTGACACGCCGAATCGGATGACCAGAAGTCGAATCGGAAAACCCGCGGTTCGGAAAAATAATCAGGATGACACGAATCTTGGATGAAACGAGCTCAGGATTGCGCCCTACGTATGACGAGCGACATGGCAGAATGAAGCTCGTTTGGTTTCGAAGTTTGAATTCGCCACCAGCTTCACCATGAAGCCACTTTCTGCATCGACTCTAGTGGAGCCTGCTGGGATACACGAGCACCATGATCTTCCGCATGGAGAACCACACTACGCCATGCAAATAGGTTTGAGCACATGAGGTGATAGTATTGAAACTCATGGATTCCGAAGAGAGGTAACGATTGGTAGGTCGCTACTCACTCCAAATTGTGTAAATAAACGGGCGGAAAGGCGGAAGTAGTTAGTAGCAAGTCCAGAGCTCGTTTCAAGTGTAGGAAGCGTTCGTCGCTCGTGCTTCGCTGTCGTTTCGACATTGCTTTCACAGTGTCTGCGAGGGTGCGCAGCTGGGTCGTGATCAAAGGCCGACTGAATTGACTCCGCGGATAGCCTTGCTAGCTCAGCGGCATGGAGAGAACACCGATCAAGGGACCTCTGCGGTCACACATGAAAGAGAAGGTCCGTTTATTGTCGTCCGTCTTTCGCTATTTTCCATTTTCGAGCCAGCATTGTTTTTTTCTTTCATTGTTTCTTTTTCATCTTATTTCTCTTCCCCTGTGGATTCGCATCACGTATGCCGCGCGAGCTGTCCCGCACCATTCAGACATTGCTTAGCCAATTATCGCGCGTTCTTGCCCACTGGGCACATCGTTTTTTTTTCTTCTTAAAATTTTCAGAAGCGATGCGAATCCTCTCCTCTGCGCACTGACCCTATCAACCACCTACCGTGCCACCCCTCATCTCCGCCCATCTACCGTGCCGCCCCTCATCTCCGCCCACCTACCGTGCCACACCTCATCTCCGCCCATCTTTTCTCACTACCCTTCACTCACCCCACTTCCCCGGGCCACCCCCGCAGCTGCGCGTCATGTGTCTTCACCGCGTGCGGGCTAATCGCGACCGTCTGCTCTGGGACATGCGCGCGTCTACTCCCCCCTCCGCCTCCGCGCACGCGCCCATCGCTTCACATTCCGCAATCCACTCCCCGCTGTCCCGGAGCTCCCTCTCGCTCTCCAAACCATTATTGCTCTCCTCAACCTCCTCCTCGCATTCTCACTCCCTCTCTCACTCCCACTCGCCCTCGTCGCTCTCCCAGCCAACCGTCTCCTCCACCCCCTCGCCCTCTTCCCTCGCCGCCCTCCACCCTCTCCTCTCCGGCCACTTGCACCCAGCCACGTCAGCAGCACTCGCGTGCCTGGGCGCAGAGCAGCGTGAGGAGACGGCTCGAGGGGGGGTGTGCTGGCAGGGGGGCGCGCGAGTGGGCAGCGAGGGCGGTGAGCGCGACGGGGAGGGTGAGCGTGATGGGGGCGCGCGGGGGGACGATCGGATGGAAGGCGTGGCGATGGGGGGGCGCGGGGAGGGGGAGGGCGCGGAGGAGTGTGGGAGAGCGGTGGCAGGGGCGGCAGGCTATGGCAGCGTTTCTGCTGAGCGGGGTGAGGGGTCGAGGGGGGCGCGGTTGGAGTTGGCGCACGGCATGGGCGCGGAGGGGCGAGGGGCGCGGCCAGACCTGCGGAGAGTGCTGTTTGGGGAGCTGCAGCGGCTGCGGAACGGATGCGATGATGTCAGCAGTGATGGTGGTGGTGGTGGCATGGGGCCCGCCAGTTCGCTGGAGCAGGAAATGGAGTTGCATAATGCGATGGCAGGTAGGGGCGAGCACAAAGTGCGGGCGTGGGAGCATGAATGGTCCTCGTGTGACCCGATGCACGGTGGGTGCGACGGGGCACGGGAGATTGGAGGCGGGGCGAGGGGACGAGGCGAGTGGGACAGCGACGAGGAGGCAGCAGGGCGGTGGGGGGATGCGGACGGGGTGTTGCAGCTGAGTGCAGAGGAGTACGAGGCGCTGCTGCTGGACATGCAGAGAGCGCTCTATGAGGAGGAGGATGGGCACTTGGAGGCACCAGTGCCGTCAGGTATGTGGTGGTGCGTGTTGACTTGGTGTGCTGCTGCTGGCCACGCAGAGAGCGTTGTATGAGGATGGTGATGGGGATGATAATGGGGGTGATGATGGGGATGTGTGAGCTGATGTGTGGGCACGTGTCGTGTGGGCACATGGCGTGTGGGCACGTGCTTTGGTCTGGACCAGACAGGAGTAAGGTCTGTGGCATTGCCATGGGATGCGTGTGTGAACATCATGTGTGCAGCAGATGGATGCTATCGCTGGAATGGGATGGGTGCAGGCCTCTCGTCTTTGCACGGGTGCTGCATGTGTGTTTGTACGGCATGGCGGGTATGTTCTGTGGGGGCGCACCGCACAGGCATTGTGATGCATCTTAGCGAGTGTAAGGTGTGTCTGGGCTGTGAAGGTGAGAGTGGCAATCACCCAAGTCTCACTCCTTATCTCGCCTCCCTCCTCTCCACTCTCTCACCCATTTCTTCGCCACTCTCACTCATCTGCCCGCCACTCCCACCCATGTGAGCATCAGGCCATCGGAGCATGGAGGAGGAGGAGGCGTACCAGCAGGGCATGGAGGATGAAGAGATCATGGCCGCGCTCGCTTATCAGCAGGTACTCGCTTCGCTTATCAACAGATACGCCCGCTTATCAGCTGGTACTCTCGCTTATCAGCAGGTACATGCTTCGCTTTTCAGCAGATACTCTCGCTTATCAGCAGGTACATGCCTGACTTATCAACAAATACACCTGCTTATCAGCTGGTACTCTCGCTTATCAGCAGGTACTCTCGCTTATCAGCAGGTAATCTTGCTTATCAGCAGGTACTCTCGCTTATCAGCAGGTGCTCTCGCTTATCAGCAGGTGCTCTCGCTTATCAGCAGGTGCTCTCGCTTATCACCAGGTGCTCTCGCTTATCAGCAGGTGCTCTCGCTTATCAGCAGGTGCTCTTGCTTATCAGCAGGTGCTCTCGCTTATCAGCAGGTGCTCTCGCTTATCACCAGGTGCTCTCGCTTATCACCAGGTGCTCTCGCTTATCACCAGGTGCTCTCGCTCTACACACTGGCCCGCAACCCGGTATGGCTGTGCCTCTCTGCTGCCATGAGTTTTCTTGCTGCCATGAGTTTTCTTGCTGCCATGAGTTTTCTTGCTGCCATGAGTTTTCTTGCTGCCATGAGTTTTCTCGCTGCCATGAGTTTTCTTGCTGCCACGAGTTTTCTTGCTGCCATGAGTTTTCTTGCTGCGATGCACTTTCTCTGCTGTCGTTAGGCGTGCCATGGAACACCAAGGATGCTTTCTCTGTCGCTGTGCCACAACATTCTTTCTGTCACGCCCTCGTCGCCGCCCCTCCTCTCACCCGCTTCAAGGCTGTCTTCTTCCAGGTCTCACCTTCCAGGTCTCACCTTCCAGGTCTTACCTTCCTTATTTATGTGCTCGTGTATCTCTCTGCATTGCCGCTGTGTTTGCAGGAGGCAATGGTGATCTGCCCGCTGTGCAAGGCCCGTCCGCTGCACATGCACGGCGCCACCATTGAGTGCTCCTGTGGCCATTTCTCCCTCCACACACACCACGACCACGTATGCTGCTGCTTCTCTGTGCTGCTCTGTCATTCGCATGTTTCCTCCCTTCTCTAACGTTCACCACGACCACGTGTGCTGCTGCTTCTCTGTGCTTTGAACGTTCCTCCCATCTGCGCCTTCCCACCCTTTTGCACCGCTCTTCCATTTTCACGCTCTCCTCCCTTTTGTCAACCTCATTGCCTGATCTGTCACACTCACACCCTCAGCGTGCTATTGCCAACACTCACTTCTCCTTTGACTGCTCGACAAAGCATTCAATCACAGGAGCAGTTGCAGTAAGGCGCATAGCAGCATGTGCCCTTACATGTGCGTACCACCTCTCTCATTCGCACATCCCTCACCCGCCTGCACCCCTACGGTGACTCTGGAGCACCTCACAGCGCGGCTGCAGGAGGTGCCATCCACTGCCAGCAATGACCCCCGCTCCCTCTGCCCACTTCTTGAAGTGGTTGCAGTAGGGGGGGGACATGGCAGCATGTGCAACCAAATGTGCCAGCCGCCTCTTTCACTCCTGCATGTCCCACTGCCCACACACCGCTGTGCAGGTGACTCTGGAGCGTCTGGCAGCGCGGCTGCAGGAGGTGCCATTCATTGCCAGCAATTACCCCTGCTCCCTCTCCCCACACCCATGCCCTCATACCTGCCCACGCCCCGCTGTGCAGGTGACTTTGGAGCATCTGGCAGCGCGGCTGCAGGAGGTGACGTGGCAGCATGCTGTGGGCTGCCCTGCGCTGCCCTCCTTCACACTCCACAGGAGCCATGGCGTCACAGCCCTTCTTGCACACTGCCATGCATGCCCCTTATTTGAAATAGTGCTATAGCTTGACGCAGCAATGCATGTGCTATGTGCAACGGTGGAGTGCATTGGCACACCATTTCTAGTATATTCTCTTAGGCTAATCCCCCCCACCTTCACACTTCACAGGAGCCACGGTGTCACGGCCCTCCTCTCTCACTGCTCTGCATCCCCTTCTTTGAAATAGTCCTGTAGCTTCATATGGCGATACTAGGTACATGAAGAGGAAGTGTTATGTGTGTGATGGCAGGTGGGACCCTCACCTTATCCTGAATCGGCAAAAAGTGATCTACCGGACTCCCGCCCTCTGTGCCTGCTCTTCCTAATCCCCCACTGAGCCCACCTCTTCTTCTCATCTCACTCTCCCCCCAGCCCATCACTTTCTCCCGGTTCTCCTCGTCTCGCCCCTCTCCCCAGCCCACCTGCCTCTCTCGCCCCTTTCCCAACCCACCTGGTTATCTCCACTCCATCAACGTTTCACTTCGTACCAATGCTGAGTTCTCAATGCTCTTTTCTTAGGTGACGCTGGTTATCAGAATCATTCTTCTATACCAAGGCTGGTGGATCGGCTTGGTCCAAAACGAATTTAGGGGCTGGAGTTAGAGCTTGAAGCAGCAGGTTGAACGAAGATGGGAGGTATGGGTTGACGCGAGGGGAACCTCTGACAGACGAATAAGGGTAAAAGAATGGCAGGGTGGAAGGGTGGACGGGTTGAACCGGTATGAAGGGAGGAAGAGAGTAAGAGGAAGAGAGAGTATGGAAAGAGGAAGGCGTGAATGGCTCATGATAGAGGATGAGAGCACGGGAGGATGAGAGCATGTGAGGATGAGAGTGTGTGAGGATGAGAGCATGTGAGGATGAGAGTATGTGAGGATGAGAGCATGTGCGGATGAGATATGCGAGGATGAGAGCATGTGAGGATGAGAGCATGTGAGGATGAGAGTATGTGAGGATGAGAGCATGTGAGGATGAGAGCATGTGAGGATGAGAGTATGTGAGGATGAGAGCAGGTGAGGATGAGAGGTGAGGATGAGAGTATGTGAGAATGAGAGTATGTGAGGATGAGAGTATGTGAGGCTGGGGGAACAGTAGGAGGGAGAATGAGTGGGGAAGGAGGCTGCAGGGAAGGGAGGGAGGCGCGGATGCAAAGGGGAAAGGAGGAAGGGAGATGTCAGATGGCATATCTATACAAGACTTTAGCTATGATAGGCTGTAATGGGGCACTCCTTAGACAGTACTGTAGTTTTAGGTTTCCATCTTGTACCTCTCGACCATCTCATCAATGCATCCTTCCTCTCTACTCTTTCGGCCATAGCTACTAGTTAGTCCTTATCTTAGCATGGTATTCAAGCAGGTCCCGCTGTAGGACCTTTTTTTTTTTTTTGGGCCCACCATTCGTCTCTTTCCTGCCCGTTCGTTCTGCCCCGCCCTACCAAAATCGCAACCGGCAGCCTGCTAGCGCCGCCCTGCCTAGCGCATCCGCCCCGCCCTTCCCTATACCCGCCCTGCTAGCACCGCCTGCACGCACGCTCGTGCCCCGTTCGCGCTGCCCGCACACGTGCTGCCTGCGCCCTACGCGCGCTCGTCTCGCGCGGGCCTATGCTGCCCGCGCACTGCCTGCGCGCTGCCCAAAACTGCCCGCGCCGTGCCTTCGCGCGGCTTGCACGACCCGCACACTGCCCTGCGCACGCTGCCCGCGCCCTGTGCAGCCCTGCCCTCGCCCTGTGAAGCCATGCCCGCACCCTGCTCGCGCCCTGAGCAGCCCTGCGCCCTACGCAGCCCTGCCCACGCCCTGCCACCTGCGCGTACCCTGCCTGCGCTGCAGCTGCTACTAAGCCACTGCTGCTGCCCGTGCCGTGCCGCCCTACCCTTCCTAAGTCGCGCTGCCCTGCCAAGCTGCGCCGCCCTGCCCGAGCCGCACCGCCCTGCCCGAGCCGCGCTGCCCTGCCCGAGCCGCACCGCCCTGCTGAGCCGCCCTGATGAGCCGCTCTACTTAGCCGCCTAGCCGAGTTGCCTTTGCTGCCGCTCCTCCGACTGCTTCTGCTGCTACTGCTACTACTACTGCTACTGCTACTGCTCCTGCTACTGCCGCTACTGCCTACCATGGCTACCATTACAGTCCTTACATTCGACGCAAAAGGTCGCCCGATTAAGTTTGACATCTGGCTCGAGGATCTTCAACTTTAACTGAAGAGCGAATCTAGGGATAATGTCTCACCGTTCGAGCATATGTCCAGGTCCTTACTCGATCCAGAGGTCTCAGTTAGCCGTATAGCTCATTCGCAGTGCTTAACGCGTGATGCTACCGCTCGCCTTGCTGTCCTCAACCACCTCCCGCTAGACGAAAGGACCCATTCTGACCAACTTAAGACCGCCAAAGAGCTCTATGATTCTGCAGCCAGACTCCCGAGCGTCGTAAGCCTGCGTCTTGTCCTGCCTCGCCTGTTCGCACTGTTCGTCGTGCTCGTCGTATTCCTCGTCCTTGTCCTCGTCCTCGTCCTCCACCAGTCCCCGGCACTCACACTATGACACTTCGTCCTTCCTCTGTTCCACAAGGTATTTCTCTACCCTCTCCTCCTGAGTCCTCCCTTCCTGACGTTCCTAACCCTGACTCTGAACTTGCTCGTGCAGTTAGTCCTACTGCCACGCGTGTTCTAGCTACAATTGTCACTGACCCTACTTTTGAGTCTGCTGCTGCGTCTGCCTTAGTCAATGAGCTTATTGACTTTGCTGAGCGTGTCGTCTCGACTACTTTGCGAATCTTGTCACTAAGTCTGAGTCTGACTATCCTCCTTCCGTCGGGGGTGATTGTGCCCTTGGCACAGACGTCCTTGAGGACAGGAAGTTTGAGCTCGAGTGTCTTGCGACTGCTGTACCTCATCTCGCTGCCATGCTACTTACCCCTGAAGGAGATCCGGATGCACTAGACATCCCGGATCCTTACTCCTCTTAGTGGCAGATAGACATGGACGCAGAGATGACTTCCTGGAAGTCCACAGGCACCTACGTCGATGCAGTCTCCCCACCCGGGGCGAACATAGTCGATGGCATGTAGATTTTCAGGGTGAAGCGGCCGCCGGGTTCTCCACCTGTCTTCAATGTGCTTTACGCTGCATGAGGCTTCAGTCAGCGACAGGGGGTCGACTTCTTCCAGACCTTCTCCCCCACCCTGAAGGTGACCGCTCTTCGGGTGTTATTGCACGTTGCAACACAGCGTGACTACGAGCTCCACTCGCTTGACTTCAGCACAGCTTTCTTTCGGGGCAGCCTACACAAGGAGATTTGGCTACGTTGCCCACCTAGCTTCACTTGGTCGTTTCCTGAAGGTACCCACTAGAGCCTCCGGCAGCTAGTCTACGATCTCCGCCAGGCGCCTCGCAAGTGGCACGATACACCAATGACGACGCTTGCAGCTCTTGGCTTTGCAATTTCAACTGCTGACAGTCGTTGTTTCTACGCACCAACACTTTTCTGCCACCATTCTACATCCTCGTGTACATCGACGACTTGGTCTTTGCTACTGTTGGCACTGAGGTACTGGCCTCTGTCGCCTGACTAGTCACAGTCACAATTACAGCCAAACCCCCCACTGCCTGCTCCTTCTCCTTACACTGAGCAGACAGACTCTCTTACAGAGTGTCGTGAGCCTGCGTCTTGTCCTGCCTCGCCTCTTTGCGTTGTTCGCACTGGTCGTCGTATTCACCGCCAGCGTCCTCCTCCTGTCCTCCGCACCACACTATGGCAATTCGTCCTTCCTCTGTTGCACTGCAAATTCCCCGGCTCTCTCCTTTGGAGTCCTCTCTTCTTCACGTTCTGGACCCTGAGTCTAACTTGGTTTGAGCTGCCAGTCCTATTGTCTCACGGCTCCTAGCCATTATTGTCACCGACCCTTCGTTTGAGTCCACAACTACGTCTGCCTTAGTTGCTGAGCTTGTTATATTTACTGCTGCGTGTCGTCTCGACTACGCCGCTTGTCTTGTTGCTGAGTCTGAGTTTGTCTGTCCCCCAACGGTCGGGGGTGAGTGTGCTCTTGGCACGGACGTCCTTGAGGACAAGCAGGAGGACTTTGAGTGTTTGCAGCTGCTGTACCTCATCTCGTGGCCATGCTGCTTTCACATGAGGGAGATCCGGATGCACTGGACATCCCGACCCCGCGCTCTTACGCAGAGGCGATTACGGGTCCCTACTCCTCACAGTGGCAGATAGCCATGGACGCAGAGATGGCATCCTGGAAGTCCACATGCACTTACGTCGACGCAGTTCCCCTTCCTGGGGCGAACATAGTCGATGGCATGTGGATTTTTAGGGTGAAGCGGCCGTCGGGTTCTCCGCCTGTCTTCAAGGCTCGTTACATTGCACGAGGCTTTAGGCAGCGACAGGGAGTTGACTTCTTTCAGACCTTCTCCCCGACCCCAAAGATGACCACTCTTCGGGTGCTGCTGCACGTCGCTGCTCAACGTGACTACGAGCTTCACTATCTTGACTTGAGCACAACTTTCTTACAGGGCACTCTGCACGAGGAGATTTGGCTGCGCCGCCCACTTGGCTTCACTGGGTCGTTTCCTGCAGGTACCCAGTGGAGCCTCCGGCGGCTAGTCTACGGTCTCCGCTAGGCGCCTCGCGAGTGGCACGACAGACTGAGGACGACGCTTGCGGCTCTTGGGTTTGCTCCTTCGACTGCTGACCTGTCGCTGTTTCTGCACACCGACACTTCGCTGCCGCCGTTCTACATCCTCGTGTACGTCGACGACTTGGTTTTTGCCACTGCTTTCATTGAGGCACTAGCCCTTGTGAAGTCGGAGCTGCAGAAGAGACACACCTGCAGTTACATTGGTAAACTGCGTAGCTATCTTGGCTTGCAGATTGCCTGGGACAGAGCACAGCACACCATCACTCTAACTCAGTCACACATGGTGCAGCAGGTCCTTCAGCGCTTCGAATTCTCGTGGTCCTTGCCACAGTCCACTCCTCTGCCTACAGGCCACTCGTTCTCAGCTCCACCTAAGGACGAGTCCGTAGAGCCGAGTGGTTAGTATCCAAAGCTTGTGGGTTGTCTCTTGTACCTGATGACTTGCACTCCACTGGACCTCGCGTACCCTCTCACCATCCTGCCACGTTAGATTGCGCCCAGGAGACAATGACCAAAGCACCGGCGGGCCGCTAGGAGGGTTCTGCGTTAATTGTGTAGTACATCAGGCATGGGGCTCATGCTTGGAGGGCGGGGTCTAGTTATATTCACTGTACACTCAGACGCTTCTTGGGCAGACGACCTGGTAACTCAGCGGTCGTCACAAGGTTACACCTTCAGCCTTGGCTCCAATTCAGTTTCTTGGAGGTCTACCCGCTTATCTTCTACTCTCAGCTCCAGTTGTGAAGCTGAGATCTACGCGGGGGCCATGGCTACACAGGAGTTACGCTGGCTGACCTACCTGCTTACCGACTTGGGAGAGCGGCCTCGTTCTCCGCCAACTCTGCAAGTGAACTGGACATGTGGCCCTTTGCTTGTGCTCGGACTGTGT